CACATTCTTTTAGCTGCTAGTGACTTTGTAAGAACATGGAGCACGGCTGATCCTAAACATGCTGTCTGTCTTTGAAAACCATAACTGTATCACGTCTATTCAGGACACATCAAAAATGACTGAACATTTATTAAAAATCCATTTGCGACATCCATCTGAACACCAACATTTACTGGAACAAAGTCAAAACAGGATAGGAGAAGAGAGTAAAAAAATATGGCTATAGTTAACTGGTTCTGTTTATCTTAATGGGTTTGTTTATAGTAGTAGGATGTTAGTCACATTATTGTTAATTTGTAAATCAGTTTGTAATGCAAGAAAACATGACACTATTAATAAGGCAGAAATGTCACAGTCAGCACATGAATCAGGTAGCTGCGCTTTTATAATCCTCAGCCATTACCAAAAGTTCCACTGTCTGAGAGGGTTCAGCAACAACAAAGGGTTTTTTCCAAAGGACTATTTTTTGGGGAACCATGAGTACATTTAGCCCGTTTTGAAAACATGAAAATTAATTCTTACTTGTATATATACAGTTGGCAGGAATTTAAACGGTAGTAGCAGAAAAATAGTGCTCTGTTGCTTTTAAGCCAGAAACAGAAACTCAAAGTAAAAAAAAAAAAAAAAAAAAAAAGAAGACCCACACTTTCACTAACAATTCAAAGGCCCAAGGCAATCTTATATCTCTACTATTCCAGAATATCTAAGTAACTCGAAAAGAAATACATATTTGGGCTGATAGCTACCTTCCCTGTTTGAAAAAAGGGGACAAAAAATTAAATCCCCTTTCACTCAGAGCAAGACAAAAGAAGATTGGCTACATGGAGTTATAATTAAAGAAAAGTCTCACCATTAATGTAGGAATTCCTATTTTACAAGTATTTGTTCTTCTGTAGGCTTATACTTACAGGCAAACAAGCCTGCAACCTCTCTGTAAAGCTAAAGACAGAAAATGAAAAATAGGATAAGAACCCTGCCTATGGCCACGAGATCCCAAACAAAACAAACAAAAAAAGCCCCACACGCTGCAGGCACTGGACCTCTTGGTAAAAGGGAAAAAAGGGGAGAGAAAGGGTCATCTGGAAAACTTTTTCAAAGATTAGAGACATTTTCTTCAGAGGGGACAGATACTTCACTTGTCACCCAACAGAGGAAAAGAGGCAGTGAGTACTAGACACATGAGAATACACAGTTGCTTTAAGCCAGCAAGATAATGTGTTTTCAGATCCTGTCTAAAAGGGCTGAAACATTAATCCTGAGCTACAGAGACAACACCTAGATAAGAACTGAGCTTCTAATTTATTCTGTCGTGAAACACGGGAGAGGAGGGGTGAGGTGTAATTACAATTCAATTAATATTTTCCTATGACATGTGGCAATTTCTAAGTGGGTTTCTCTTTACCCTTCCACTTTCCTACCTAGCAATAAGCTTTAAAGTGTTTTGATTTTAAAACTAGTTCTCAGAGGAGGAGACAGAGGAAGGGAGAAAGCAGGGAATCCGACAGAAGAGGACTTCTTAAAGCAGAAGACTATAGCAATTTCCATCATTGCCATGTCTGAAAACAGAGGTGCAGATGCTGTTTTCCCCTTCAGTATTTGCTGCAACACAGCGATCCAAGAGGCTTTTGCAGCACCTTAGTCACACAAAGAAAAAACAACCCGACGTACACCAAGAGTCATGACACAGTGTCACGAAGCTCATTCTTCTAAAAAGACATGTAGCCAGGGAACATATCACTGCCAACGATCATAGTCACAAGGCATTAAAAAATTCACAGACAGAAGCATCAGCAGCTGAAGCGTGCTTCTGGGACACGTTCCCAGCAGGGATGATGGGTCAGGCTAGGTCCAGCGAAGGTACAGGCTGGCTCAGACCAGCTGAAATCCATCCAATCAACCACAAAGCTCACAAGTCTACTGGACAAGAAGAGAATACTGCCTGGAGTTTTGGGCCCTTTGACACAAGAAGAATGTTGAAAAACTGGAGTGAGTTCAGCCACCAAGATGCTCCCTTCCTCCTTCTCTCTGCTCTGCCCTGTTTTGGTGGTTTTTTTTGATAATCCTCTGGCACACATCAGGAACCTTACAACTTAAGGATACTCGGGGATTTACAGAGAAGTGTCTTACCCAGTATGGTACTAAGCTCTGATAAGTTCTCCCCTTCTAATAATCAAGGGCACAAACCAACTTTAGAGAACTTTATTTTGCAGAAAAGGAAAGAAACCCAGGAAAACCTGGAAAACCTCAGTTTTCACAGGAGCCATTTTTGAATTGTGACTAATGTGACACACCAGCTGGATAGTGGTTTATCCTTAAGAAAGGAACCACCTGGCTATCATAACAGAGGCAGGGATATCAAAAACGCAACATTTGCAGACTATCACCCATTCGACTCCCCACAACCATTTTTTCCAGAGCTCCTTTCCATCGACCTCGATCTTCAGAGAAGAAAAGATATTTCACACCACTGTGTAAAAGCAGCACTCTCTCACACAGCTCCTCCGCTAAAAGGGATTCCATGTGCCCACCAACTGCCACTTCCCCAGCCTTTGAAAAGCCACCAAGAATCCCTTGATCTGGGGCCAGCAGCATGCCCCAGCGCAGAGGCTGAGCTGCACCCACCTTCACTCACCTGGCAGCTTGTGCTCTCAGGCAATAGCTGCAAAAGCAGGAGTTCAGACTCAACTTTCAAGTTCTCAGGCAAGCTGGGACAGGCCTCATACTTACAAAACACAGGCAACTAAATGTTTAAAAGCTGACTACATACGGCTACCAAAAGTAGCATTACTGAATCTTTTTGTTTCCCCAGCCTTAGATAGTCCATGCAAACAAAAAGCCTCAATAATCCGTATTTCCATTTGATCACAGTAGGACAACACAGTGATCCACAGGGACAAGACAGACAGCATCATAACCGACCCTATAAGATATTTAATAGGACGTATGAGGCCTTGACACAGTACTGTGCCAAGTATCATTTGCCAAAGCTTTTCACTTCAAACCACTGAAGAGTAACTCCGTGAGAGGGAATCTATGAGCTTTACAGACAAAAGAAAACCATCCATACCAACCTCTGTTTGCCAGCAACTGGCAACAGCCTGCTACATCGACAGCCTGGCTGTTACTGTGCCCAAGTCATGCTAACAGTGAAACCCACCAGCACCAGGAAATTCAGCAGCACAGCTTCCACTGACCCACAGTGCAGGTTCAGGGATCATCACTGGGCATAGGCCCTCGGCAGGATATTTTGACTTTAGCCTCTATTTTTTTTCCTCCAGTTTTTTTCCAATGCAGTACAGTCCTCTACAGTTACTTCTGGGTCATCAACAGTGACAACCCTGAGCTACAGAAGACCTCCAGTAAACCCCTCCCACCCATACAAACTTATTTTCCTTCCCTCCAAAGATCTGCAATCATTGCTATACTTACAACCTCCCTATATCACTCTGTGTCTATAGAGACACATAAGATTTGCTTACAGAATTCCTGCAGCTATAGAGGAAGCTACGAGCTGTTCATTATACAGTTGCTTTTTAATTGTTAATAGAACAAACTCAAGCTACGGCAATATTAAAGTAGATGAGAGAGGATGACCTTAAAAATTCTTACCTGTGTTTTAGTGTAAAGCTCACACAATGCATGGGGTATAACGCAGCAGACAGAAAACAGGATTTAGGAACCACAGTGAATGTTGTGGGTGGGTTACATCTTAAAACCAGTACAAACTGAACCAAAACTTTCCAGCAATGGAAGCAGGATGGAACTTTCTAGGCCAGTTGAGCCCTTCCAAGTTGCAACGGGAGCTTAGGAAACAAGGGCCTCAATGTACATTTCAGGTGCCACGTTTAGAAATTATTGGAGGCTGCCCTGGACACAAGGTACTTCTCCCACTGAAGTCACCTCAGCTCTGTATGTTGCTCAAGGCCTTTGATCTGAAGGCAAATTTTACCAGCAGCAACAGACAAAAATGGGGACCACTGAGCACTAACTCCCAAACTCATCACCTCCAACACCAACTCAGCAGATGACTGGGGACTCCAGAACAGGCTAAAGTTATCTGTATTCTTTTCAGCTTATGCATTACCTACACCTTGCCCGTTGTATGTGTACAAAACAAGGCTTCCAGGGAGATTTCTCAGTGTTGCTCAAATGCTACTTATTTTTGCCCTCAGAGGTGGCAGGCAAGATTTTGACGTGCTGGTTCAACCAAGAGCGACCAGAGGCTCTTGAAGAGAGTTCAGCAAGACCAACCTCAGGCACAGCCAAACATCATCTTAGGCCACTGAGCTCCGGCAGACGGCTGTTTGTGCACACGGCAGCTCTGCCGATCTCAACTCCTTCCCTAACACCACCAGCGCGCACAAGCTGATGCCGGTGCCAGCATCCCCAGGTAACACCCGGCACAGCCGCCGCTGCGAGGAGGTCGAAGCTTCCCGCAGGTCTCTCTCTGGCTCCTCGGGCTCGGACCCCCGGCCCATCTCCTTCTTGCTCCTGCGCTCCTCTGGCCAGTGCGCTGGGGAAGCCGTCCCGCCGCCGGGAGCCGGCAGGAGCACCGAGGCAGCGGCAATAGAAGCGCCCCGGGCTGGAGCGGGGGCGGCACCGCCTCCGCGTCCCCCACCGCCCCCGGGCCGAGCCTCCGCCCGCCCGTCAGGCGAGGCCAACGGCACTCCCCGAGCTGCCCCGAAAAGTTACCGCCGGAGTCCCCGCGGCGGAACAAAAGATGGAGCGGGAGCGGCGGGCGCCGCGCCGGGGGCGGGCGGGGAAGGGTCGCGCCGCCGCCTCCCGCCAGGCAGGGGCGGCTCGCCGGGAGCGGCGATCCCGCCTCTCCGCGAGCTGCCGCCAGCCCGTCACCGCTCTGCGGGCTGTGCCCGGGGCACGGCTCCGGCCGCACCGGACGGGGAGCTGGGATACGGGATGGCGGGGTGGGGGGCTCCATTCATTTTCGGGAGCGCCGCCGGGCAGGGGGGCTCCCGGCCGAGGCTGCGCCGCGCTCCGCTCACCTTACTCTTCACTTCCACTGCGCTGCACTCCAGATACCGCAGAGTCTGAGATTTGTTGAAACTCCGGTTCATCTTCTCGGCCCCGCTGCCTCCCTTCCCGCGCCGCCGCCTCCCTCCCTGCCTCCCGCCTGCTCGCGGGCCGCGCGCCCCCCGGGCCGTCCCCACGAGCCGACGGCCCCGCTCCCGCCGCGCTCCGCTCCGCTCCTCCGGGCACTTTGTTCCAACGGGACCGGCGGCGGCGCCCGCAGGGATCCGCGCGGGGCTCGCGCGCTCCGGATCCCGACACTGCCGCGCGCGCGCCCGCCTGCGCCGGCGGCGGGCGGGGCCTCGGCCCGCCGGGACGCGCCCCCGGCCCCTCCCACAGCCACGCCCACCCCGCGTGGCCGGGCCCCGCCCACTCGGCCGCCGCTGAGCTCCCGCGCGACCCCGCCCCGCGCGTGTGCGCGGCCCCGAGCGCGGCCCCGGCGGAGCCGCCGCGCAGCGGGAGCTGGTGCGGGAATTGTTTTCCCGGGCGGCGAAAGGTCTGGCTGCTGAGGCTGTGCAGGAAGCAGACAGCGCATCCGCGGCAGCCGCCGGACCGTAGTTCGCCGAGTGCTCGGAGGTGCCCGTTGTGTGGCACAAAGGAGACCCGCACAAACTTTCCAGACAGCGCTGATTATTCATTGAAGAGTGTTGAGATCTGAAAAGTGCTGCGAGTCATTAATTTGAGACCACAGATCATCAGGTTTGGGAGGAGAGTTTCCACCACTCTGTCCTTGAAATAAACCGTCAGACTGCCTCCCTCTTCTAGCAGGTCTTATTAATTAGGTAGGTTACTAATTTGAAAATCTCGAAGGAACTTACTTCTTTCCATCTCCTGCCAAGGACCTTTATAATTCTAACAGACCTTTTCTCTTCAGTCAACTTCTTTTAGTCACTGAGAGCCTTTGAAAGTGGTATTTTTTTCCTACACAGTCCTGCCCAAAACATCAGAAACTTAGGACATGGAACAGACCTGTGCAACCAGTTTTCTGCTGCTCAACGTCTCCTAGGATTGTCTGCCCGCCTAAGCAAGGAGCATAAAGTCCTAAAAGACATGACAAATCACCCATCCCTTCTCCAGACCCACTGAGCAGATGTCAATGGCAGTGATGGGGAATACCCATGAATTTAAGGGCAAAAAAAAGAACTGAGTTGACTTCTCATGTGATTCCAAGTGGGAGGATCAAAGCATATGCCCCAACTACAAACTAGCTCCATCTTATTGGAAAATGGACCTGAAATGAACATTTGCCACATGTTCTGGGCTTGCACCGGGTTTGGAAGGCTTGCTGTAAGTTAAATTGGAAAAATAAAGTCTAGATAGCTGAGAAAGGAAACGCTTGTGTGAACTTGATATTTTCCTCTTTTCATCTTAGTATGAGGAATGCAGCAGCTTTGCTTTCCTGCTGTGATGGCCAAGGCCAAGCTGTGGAGATACAGCATCCCTGGGGTGCTCAAGGGCTGAACATCGCTTTCGGGATGTTTTGATGTAAAGGGGGATCTTGAAATCCAGCAGCTGGATTCGAGCGTTTAGAGGTTCAACATATTGTGCAACAAGGCCAGTTCACTGGCATGAAGTTAATCAGTAGCTGAAGGACCAGTCTAGTTATGTCGCCTCTGACGGGGGAAATGCTGGTACTGCTCGTACCACCAGAAGCATCAGGGGGACTTTATTCCAGCCCACCTGTCCTCCAGCTGACCCTTGAAAAGAGACCCTGCTGCTTGCTTTACCTTCTGGGTCATGAAAGTGCCCCGGGACTTACACTTCACACACGTGGTGATGTGGTTGAATTCAGAATCACAACCACAGAGAAGAAAGTTCTGAATTAATTTTTTGTTTCAATTTTTTAAATTTTTTTTCTGAAAAAAAGTAAGTTCTTAACAGGTGGCGATCAACAAACAATTTTAGTCTTAGTTTTAAATTTGGTACCTCTTGTATTCGTGATGCTCATTTGAGAAGCACAGATTAGACTTGTCTTTTATTTTATGCTTCAGGGAGCACATATGCTTCATTACCATCTCTTTTATATTAATAGACTCTTCAAACTAATAATGCCTACCAAGCTGCATGTAACCAGAATGAGAATTCAATGAAAATGAATAATATATATATATATTTGGGTGAAATGAAAGCTGGTAAGGTACACTGAATTCATAAAGAATAAAGATATCTTTTTTGAAGAGTAAGGCAGGGCTTATTTACCAGCAGGGCTAAGGGGACTTCCACTTTCCCTGCCCTGTCAGTGCAGTCATTGCATATGCTGTTCATATTTCCACCACCACATGAATACACAATCCTGTTCTTCTAATCTACCCCGTCTTTTGAAGCTAACAGGTGTATTGAGGCCACAACTTACTGTATTTCGGGAGTGGAGCTAATGTTGTTTCTATTTCTTCTATCCTACAAGAATTTAGAAGTGGTAGATCACTGCCACTCCTTTTTTTTTTCACCCATAAGAAAAGCTGCTTTTCTGTGGTTTCATTCCTGCACATTTTTTCAATCTCGCATTAAACACATCACAGTAATCAAGGTGAATACGCTGATATGAGGAAATATGCTCTTTATACCTCCAAAGAGGCTATTACTAGCAAAGGTTATTTTCAAACTACTTCAACAAAATCTGGTTTCTGCTGCTTTTTCTCAGTCGATCTGTTTGCCTTAAAAAAAAAATCCATTGTTAAACCTGAAAAAGATACTTTAATTTCAATTATTTTCATTCAGGTTTTAATATATGTTGGCATGATTTCAAACATAATGATAAGCAGATCTTTAAAATGCAAGTGTTTTGGATAAAAGAAGTCAAATTTGAGTTAAATATTCATAAGTCCAATTTGAGTTAAATATTCATACTTTTGTAGGTTAATATAAACACTTTTTTACCCACTCTGATGTAAGAAATGATCAGTTTCTGGATAGCTCATTGATTAGGCTAAAATAGGGGGTCACAGTATGACAAATTGGCTGTATACTTTCATTGGTAGAAAAATAGAATGTAAGTATTTATTAAATGAATAGAATATTATATAAGTATTAAATTATGTATGATTTATCAATATTATTTATTTAATAATTTATTAAACATGAATGCTTCTCAATCAAGCTTCACTGAAATCCAGTTCAGTCCATTTTTGTAAATTCTCTAAAATACGATTTTTATTCCTCCGCTTCCAAATTGGTTACAGGTTTAGTCCCTTTCCTCCAGAGCAGAGCAGAGGCACGATTAAGACAGCTTGAGAAAATTCCTTCTTCTCTTGCCTCCTCTTTCCATGCCCCTGCTCTGCTGTAATGAGCAGTGACTTCAACCATACACCAGCAGGACCCAAAACACTGGATGTGCTCTCAGGCTGCCCCGGCCCCACATTGCACCAAGCACTGCAGCCCCTACCAGCTGTTTTCCTCCTCAAACTCAGTCACAGATGGTTTTAATTTAACTGCTTTTGCTCAGCCACCTTTTAGGGCTGTTTTTTTTTCTCATCTCTTGCCAAGGGCACAGCATTCCTTTGACAATTTCTATAAATCTTCATCTGTTTTAGTAATCTGTGGTTACTTTATCCTGTTTCTGACCCGCCAGAGCTTTTAAATCATTGTTTCTTCCTGGGTGCCTATCTCTCAGCCCTTCCTTGCAGCTTTACAAGGTGCATCCAGAGCGTGGGGGCACATTTGCTCTCGTCCAGCCATAAAGCCCCCTCCTGCATGCAGCACTGCACCAAATACTTTTGTTTCTTGCCCTAAACCAGGCAGGGATGCCACAGCCCAGGTATCCTAACAGACCATTTAAAAAATATTCAGATATTTCTGTTTTCAAAGTTTTTTATTTAGCAGACCAATGAAAGGTGCTGCAACATGCACCTGACTCTCACTGCTGCAATGTTGTTTTTCAGCATGCAAGGGGCTTCACTCTCACTCGCTGCATGCCTCATTAGTATTAATAAGTAATTTACATGCTCTGAGAGGTTTAAAAATAGTCCAGACTCACGTCCAAGGATTTATTTTTCTCCCCGCTTGCCTGTATTGAATTTGCAAGAGTTACAAAAGAGCAAGTCCTAAGGGCTTGGGGGAGCTGCTGCAATGACAGTCTGGTTTTGGTTTCTTTAAATGTAAACAAAAATGAAGCATAACATGAAGGAGGGAAGAGGGGGGATGACAACTATTGTTTTGCTTGTAGCAAACAATGTTCCTGCCGCAGCCGGGATGGTTTCTAGTTCATCAAGCTCAGAGGACAATGCCAGGGAACATCCATTGCCCTACTGCAGGAGCCTACCTAAAGGGGAGCAAGAAGAATAATGCAACCAGCAACAGCAGTAATGGATGCTCCAGGACAGGAGACCAGCTGCTCTAATGGTTTTCCATTGTCCCATCCCTCATGGCAGTGAAATGTCTTCTTTTTCTTTGCGTTTAAGAGCTTTCACCTTCAGGCCTACAAGAGACATACATGCATTTAATAGCAGAAAGAGCAAAGAGAGAGGAGGGGTTTGTTCTCAAGGGGTGGAAACTTGATGCTTCTTTTCCACCAAGGATGATAAAACATCGAGGAAACCTCTTGCATGATTTTACTACAAAACACTCGAAGAGGAGAGACCAGAGCAGTTGCTGAGGGAATGGCACCTGCTGAGCTGCACTGCAGGGCTTGTAAGCAAGCACAGAGATGAGCATTTGCTGTTGCAGCTCCCAGGGTTTCTCCAGAGAAATGTGCCAGGGGAAGTGGGTGGAGGTCCCCAGGCTGTCTGCACACAGGTACCCTGGCTTCAGCAGTTCAGACCAACGGGCTCTTGTGTCAGCTGAAAATTTTCCCCTTTGGCTTCATTGGTGGATATTATATAACCTGTTACTCTTTGATATGTATCAGCGTGCAAATAATTCAGGAACCAAAACTGCTGGGATACCACAGTCCCAGCAGCCAAACTCTGAGCATCACCAGACAGGGAGTAGGGTGGGTTATCAGATTGATTGTCCTCTTGCCAAATTACACCTAAATTGGGGTTAAAAGCAACAGTACTTTTCAAGGATGACAAAGGTGAATTTGATTGGCAGGGATGAGTTTGGGAGTGAGAGGAGGGAAGAGAGAGGATCATGCTCCTTATTGTGCCGCCCAAGTGTGCCCTAGCTACATGAATTGCCAGGATGTGACATTGCCCATGAAATACAGAAATATTCAAACTGTATTTGTTCTGCACATGTATCTGCTGAATTTAATGATCTTTATCTCTCTTTCAATTGCTTTGATTCTTGGTTTTCTACTCTTAACCAAGGAGAAAAACATGAA